ACGGAAATTATTTCTTGCTTACGCATTTTCCACGCAAACAGTTAACTAAAGAATTACATTCCTATGTGTACACGAGGCATTCCTAATTAAAAATATAGATTTATGACTAAATAATTACTGTCCAAAATAGTGTCTTTTGACTCTGTCACATTTGACTGTTATCAATTATATAACTTTTTTTGTACATGTAAGTATAGTTTATTAAACAAACGCATTTGTTTTGTAGCTGCTAGATATCCTTACTAAATTTCGAGTCAATGAGGAAAGTCTCATACAAGCAGAAACCATGAAGAGGGAATCCAGAAGCATGCTGAGTGCTTTTCTGAAGAGGTTAGTAGCTGTTAATAGAAATACATATACTGAAAATTGCGAAAATTTGATTAAGGTGACTGCCTACTTTTGGAAATCAATTTAAACTTTTCTTAAAACTTCCATTTTCCGAATTGAAATTTAATGCTCATTCCAAATCTGGAAAGAAAAATTGGGTGTCCAGAGCTTGTTTTCGAGATAATCAGCATTTAATGGAAGCCTACGCGCGAGATTTTGGAGCAAAACGAGCGCCACCGGAAGTGATTTGAAAAAAATTTGGTTCATAAGATAATAGTTATTTGCAGACTATATGATTGCACGAATGAAGGCTAGTCAATCATTCTACAATAATACGTGGGTATTTTCGACAAAAAGACAAAGAGATACATTGATTTGTCTTATTTTGTAGTTTCGGTGCTCTTAATAAAAAATCACATAAAGTCGAACAAAAATCCCTACAAAAATCTATTTGTTCATGTGTTAGAAATATAAACTTTTTCTAAAATGTTGATATAACCTAGATTTTTAGGAGTTTTTTCGAATGGACTATTAAAAAATAGAGAGTCCCGTGCAAAATTTGAAGGTTTTGTCCTGTTGAAGCTCAAAACGCGAATGGTTCTTCAATAAAATCTTGTAGATTTTTCAGTGGTTTTTGAGCGCGCGCACATTGTGGGCTCAAACCAAATATTCAAAAGTAGGCAGTCACCTTAATTAATATATCCACTTAGCTATAGGTAAACTAACTAACTGATTGGTTGACTGTTTGACTGATAGTGATGCAATCCATGTCATATTGTTGTGTCTGAGGAATAAGGTCAAAACAAATATCATCTTTCTCACTAGGGAACCCAGTTTTAGGGAGGGGAGGGGCTACTTGCTACCTACCACCTGCACTCAAAAGGTCAAATCCTGGATTTTGTTCTCAAATATATATATATATATGTCCAAAAGTCAAATCACAGAAATGAATGTACGTATACTGTCTGGTTACGGTACCTGTATGATCACAACGTAGAATTAGTCACTACATCAGACACCCAGTATCGAACATTTGAACAGGTGTTTCTGAGGGGGTGGGGAGGGGGAGCATTTACCAATACCCAAGGGCGCATCCAGCCAAAATTTTAGGGGGGGGGGGATAATTGAGTTTAGGGGGGGCTAATTGAGTTTCTTCCGTCAACACGACGGAAAACAATATAAAAAAGCATCGTTTTTTTCTGCTGAAGGGGGGGGCTTCAGCCCTCCTTTGCCCCCCCCCCCCCTAGATCCGCCCTTGATACCCACCACCTATACGTCTAGTTGAATAAAATCGAGTTTCTATTGTAGACCATTGTTTTGACAATGYCCCTGTCAACTTCTTTTCCAGGTGTTTTGTTGTAGAAAAACAGCCACCACCAACTCAACTTATTGACAAAGGATTCAGTGTTTCTTTGAGGTGAGAATTGGATTTCTCTTGACAGTCATCTTTGATAATTAACAATTATAATGTTAATATTTTTTCCAGAAAGAACACGTAGCTCGTAACGGAGCTCCGGAGATCACTCAACACGAATTCCTTCTACGGCAAACTTACATTCTAAAATAAATAACTAATTTATTCGCATCATAGTGATATAGTATAAGAGGTTAATCCTAGCTATCTCAGACTAACATCGTATTGGAATGATAAATATCCAAAAATGAAAATAAGGATTTTTCTTTTTGTGGAGGGAGGGAAACCAAAGAAAAACCTTTGAAGCACAGGAGAGAACCAACTAACGAATACAGTCCTTTGACTAAACGTTGTCGTTGATCGGATCATCCCTACGCGCCTAGACCGAAAAGGATAACGGGTAAATTACCCAGAACTTGCGTCATCCAAACTGCTCGCCAGTTTAAATCTTCGCCGTATGCTCGAGGCATGGTATTAGCAAATTAAATGGGATCGAAAACAGCGAGCTCAAGACGCGTTAGATAACATATGCGGTAGCTAGTAACTGCGAATTAAGTATCCCCATGATATAACCCCATCCCTCGAACTTCTTTTTTTCAATTCCTTGCAGACTTTTATTGGGAAGCCAGATTTTGTCTTCTAGTCATGCTTCAACTGTCACTTGCAGTCTTCACTTGTAAGTCGTGTGTAGTCGGGGCAAAACTAACTCACAGATTAAACCCTGAAACAACCTCTGGGCTGATCAAAGTCAGAGCACGGCTTACTTACAGATCGTGCCCTGAAACAACCCCCTCTCTGGGCTGATCTATGTCAGGGCATGGCTAACTCACAGAT